CCCCCCCCCCCCCTTAGAAAAATTTCTATCCCCTTTTATTAAAGAAAATTGCGTTTGATTTCTGTAATAATAGAAATCAACATACAGCTTATTCATAACAGCAGGCATCATCAACAATAAGAAGTCCAGAACTCGAAGGAAAATCCCTTAGAAAATGAATTTCTAATGCACAGTTTTCTTGCATTTTTAAGAATTTTTCGCTTCGCAACTTAGGTCTGTTCCATTAGTTTTCATTTTGATCAGTCTTCTCTCCATTTCGAATTAGCATTTGAAATATGATTCGTTTCTCTGTGTGACTTAGGCAATGGGAAGCTTTGTATACGCCTCGCGTTTATCTTCCACTTTTAACACAGCGATTGAAAGCGTAGAGGACTTTAGTGGCTGAACATATATGAGTGCTATAATTTCGTTCTTGTCACTCCAGAAGCGTGAGTTTTTATTTCATTGAACTATACAAGATTTTAGTCAAACCGTTTTTATTCCGTTCCAAAAAGGTGCCGCCTTCGGCGGCATGCTCTCCTTGAATAAATAATAAATCAATGCTTTTTATACCGCTATTATCTCATCAGAAATTTTAGAGTCTAAGAAGAAACAAAATTTCTCACTGCGTGGTATTGTCCAAACAATAGTATAGAAAAGAACGGTGAGGAACAGTTTATATGGTATAAAACATTTTACTCTTCTTATATTTTGACGCCATATATGTCTCTTGGAGGTAGGGATGTACTAAACAGTAAGTAACGGGTAGGAGCAAAAGAAATTCTCGATATTTTCGATAAATTGTTTCGAAAAAGGGTGTTTGTAACAGTTAAATATGCGTTTTGTAGCACGTTCAATAGGATTTCGTATGTGCTATTCAATTTTTATACACGTCATACGAACTAAAAAAAACTAGACAAAGAATTATGTTGTTTCGTTGTCTACAGTTGGGGAGGGAGGGGGGGCTGAGCCTCCCCTACGAATTTTTCCTGGTTACGCCCCTACTGCATATCCTAGATTATTTTCAGCAAAGTCTCTTGCTAGACGTTCAATTTTTCCATTTGTTAAATTGATAGAGTATCAACCTTGTTGTGAATTATTGAATTGACCATTATTTGGAGTGAAAGGATACAAACGAAAGTAGACATGTTTACCGTCAGCTGATAGTTGAAGATTTAGGTCCACGCCTTCGTTATTTTGCCAGTCTCAATAACTATGACATGGTTCGTAATTCAATCGAATAAATTTCGAAAACATTAATATCCTCGATAAGACTTGGTTTTGATGTAAAAACAAGTTTTTGTTCTAATGGAACACATAAGAGTTCACCAATCGAAAAATTAACAGTCTTGATAAAATTAGTTTTCAAAAATATTTGTCGATCATTTTTGGTGATATCAAGACGATAAATGATACTTCGATGACTAGATTTTAGCCGAGGATATTGAAGGACATCTTTTCATTCAGCTTTACATGTATTGTCCTTGTCTTTGGTCCGTTGTACTAGTATTGTCTCATAATAAAGAGACGAATCATCATCGGACCATGTCATAGCTGATGGATGTTGATTACCAAGATCAATGGGTAACAGTTCATTCGAGATAATGTTGTATAGATAAAGGTGATCTTTAGTTGTGTTTTCTTTTAAATCTTCTTCGTTTAAGAATACTATCGAATTTCCACTTGGTGATCATTGTGGTTTGATAATTTCAGAAATTTGTCGAGTAATAAGCTCTTTTTGTCCTTAAGTTTTATAAACCCATATATTATGCTCATAAGATTTGGAATCTCATGAAGGACGTCTACGATGAACAAGTAAATGTTGATCATTCTGAGAAAGACACAATGAGGGAAAAGATGCTGAATCAAAAAACTCATCAAATGTTCTATTTAGTTTTGTTTCAATCGACAATCGCCAAAGTAATATGAAGATGGAAACTAAATAGAATTTCATATCGATATTTGATTCAAACAGGTTCATCTAATCGAAATAAAGTTAATAAGAATTGTCCTACTCACATATTTCGATAAAAAAATCAAAAGTGTTCATTGCATGACTCTAATATTATTGTTAATTTGAATACGATCCTCTGTTGATAAATGAACGAAATTTTCAATTACTTGTACTAATTTCTATCATATTCTCTACGAGTCATTGAATAATAGTATACATACATACCTAAAGTTCGATATGAATTCGGCGACAGATGAAAAATATAACTGAATATAATAAAAAAAGAAGCAGTACACTTTGAATCGTATGACAAGGATAAGATTAGGAACTTATGCTTTGTTGTGTAAGATTACCAAAGAAAAAAGTTGTTATTTGGGTTTTTATATAATATAAAGATTAATATTTACTAGAATCAAGAACAAGATGTTTTCTTTTTAAAACATTGCTCAAGTAAAGGTCACAAAAAGAAATCATATGTCTCATAGTTTGAGATATCATTTAGATGGAAAATTATTCTAAATATTATTGTTGTGAATAGTTACCTTGTAGCTTAATATTTTTGAAATAAAAGAAAAATGAACTTAGACGTGCAATATTAATGGCTGAAATATTGCTTGTTGTGGTTATATTGTTAATGTTAATAATTAAGAAAAGCTGATGGAGCATTTTTCGAATTAAGCAGTTAAAAAATGGTCTCCTTCTATCTGAGATCATGCATTTCAAACTTTTACATGTGGAGTCATGATGCTGGTTTTGTCTTTTCATTTGTATCTATTTAACATTGTTGATGGCCACATACACGTGACCACTAGTGTAAATACACAATTTGTTTCTTATCAAAGTTACTGATAGTATGCATGTTGAAACAATAAGATATTTCATTTGTCATACTGAATCGAATGTGTGAGCAGTTTATTTATATTTCTTGAGTGAAATTTTACTGGTCCTTCTTTTCCATTACTTACAGTAAGAATTTCTGTCAAGCTAGTAGAAATAACTAACATTAGTCCTATTATGATCAAATACTCTTATTCACTCAGCCCATGTTGTCTTTGATCATTATTAGTACTAAACTATAGTTTTACCTATCGACAAACAATATGAAATCATCTTTCTTTCTAACCCACGGATAGTTTCAAAAGTCGATCACAGTGAAGTATTAAAGATTTGCATAATTCAGCTCGAACTAATCAACCACGTGCAACGATTTCTAATCAAGATGAACATATTGCTTCACGCGCTAAACAACAAATAATCGTTATCCAGTGGTACATCGCAAAACAAACTATAATGAAAATGATTTGTGTGTCAACGAAAGAACAGCAGGATGGCCATTGAACAAAGTAAGATCGAAATAAAGTCGATTCATTATGATGTCATTGTTTGCTCAATGTTATTGAGGGATTCGTTTAAAATGAGTTCAATATTAAAGACAAACGAACTAGAAACAAAATGATTTGAATCGTCAAATATCTTATCAAAGTGAATGCATACGGTTGGTTTTCAAGTCGAGACGTTGTTTGCATCTTCCTCTTCAAAAATAATTTGGACGCAAAATTTGTGTAGTATCTATAAATGAATTGATTGGCATTCAATACCATCGAATCTCGAACGCATCTAAGATAAAGTGGAAAACCTTTTCACTAAAGTTGCCTATCAAAATTGTACATAATATGAATGATCAAAGGACGATTGATAGTGTATAGGAAAAAAGTTCAATTGAATTTAAGAAAATGGCATCGATTTTAGTGCATTTCAATGTTTTCTGATAACTTTGATTTTCAATCACAATTAGAGCCCTGCTTCGCCTCTTCAGAATTGTTTCAAAAGATAAATTGAAAATCAAAGCTATTTGAACACTTTGGATTACAATCAAATCAACGCCATTCTCCGACATACTTACGATTATGCTATCTGTTTTGATTGAAAATATGATTATTACAACCGAAATCGCTATACACAGATTACTGATATAAAAATCAAAGTGAGCAGATTTTACTTCAGTATATAGAAAGATTGGTACCAAATACTAGCACCATATTCTAATAGTGTTCAGCCAGAAGTTTTTTCTTACTTTTCTAAGAAATGATTGTTGTATTAATTTCCAAAGTACGTGTCATGATTTATCTATGAATATATAATTCTTTTAATTTGCATTGAGTAACCAGTATCTAGGGTAAGAAACACGTGTAAAATTTAGTAATTACAGATTGTCTTATGTAATACTGAAAACATTGACAACACGATCGGATCATATATAGTTTCTAACATCATCTTCTTTATTTCCACACAAAAAAACGCATTAAAGTTAAATTGATTAGATATGTCCTTCAGATCAGCCATCATCCTCTGTAAAGTTGTTGAAAGTTTAAATGATTTCATATTGCATTAATGATCCCTGTGTAGTATAAGCGTCTGCACAATGAAAAAAATTTAGTTCAGTTACAAGAAAGTAGAGATTTTTCTTTCCTATTGTAGTCATTATGAAATGAGTTTTAATTGTGTATTTAAGATATAGTCTCTATATAATAGAAATGATGATGTTACATTATTTATTAAAATCGAGAACAAAGTGTATTGTGTTAGGGCATCAAACAATTCGATTCATTTCAGTAAAAACATTCACCTATGAATCACGTATTCGACGAATGTATAATGATGGTATAGATGTAAAGCAACAAACAGTCGAAATTAATACAATAGAACATATTCGTCGATGTTCCCTTCACAAAAATGATGACATTTGGACTTTTTATAAGACAATGCATCCCAATGTAAGAACGCTTGGTGATACTCTTAATGAAGGTTACATTACCTCAAATGATGGACCATGTGTAGGCATTGTTCAATCATCGAATGGTATTAATTCTTTACAATGGCTTCCCTATTCCAAAGTTATAGAAAAAAGTCGATGTATTGGTTCATATTTATGGGTTAAAACAAAACTTACTCCGATGCAATCGAAAGTGGCTATTATTTCAGCAAATCGTGCTGAATATTTGTTTGTTGAACATGCATGTTATCAATATGGATTTGTCGTTGTTAGTCTTTATACTACTTATGATTCTGCAACTATTTTAAATGTTCTTCAAAAGACTCAAGCTGAGGTACTTGTAGTTGATAATTTAGAACGTATTCGAACCATTCAAGATGATTTATTCAATAGTAATCAAATAAAAGAGATATTAGTCATGGATGGCAGTAGCTGTGATGAGAAAAATAAAATTCGATCTATTTCAACAATATTTAAATCAATGCAGAATAGTAATATACGTGAACGGCCAATAGTTGATCCAAATAGTATTGCTACATTTATATTAACAAGTGGAACTACAGGTAAGCTTCTTTAGAACTCAAAATAGTCAAGAAATACAATCATCATTGGTTTCTTTTTATTCAAGGAGAGCCAAAACTTGCAATGATCTCACATGAAAATCTATTGGCAGCGGTGAAAGGTAATCTTATTCGTCTACATCGACAAAATATTAAAAGACCACTTACCAATAGCCATTGTTCATTTCTACCTATGGCACATATATTTGAAAGATTTGTAATCTTTCAAATTCTATTCGAAGGCACAGCAGTAGCTTTTTGTCCAGCTCCTGAAAAGCTCGTCGAATATTTATCTATAGTGAAACCAACTCAAGCTTCTGTTGTGCCACGTGTACTTAACAAAGTCTATGATACAATTATGAATGAAGTTAAAAAAAGTCCAATAAAAGAATTTCTTGTTCGACAAGCATTACATGAACAATTACCCTTTTTATCACGTTTCGTCTTTCGAAAAGTTAGAGCCTTATTCGGTGGTCAACTTCAGGGAATAATAACAGCATCAGCTCCAATAAAACCAGATGTTATGCATTTTTTTCGTATCGCATTGGATATACCTATAGTAGAAGGATATGGACAGACTGAATCATCGACGATTGGTGCTAGTACACATCCAATTGATATGTCATATGGTACAGTTGGTTCACCTGGACCAAATTCCGAAATAAAATTAATTGATGTACCAGACACAACCTACCGATCTGAAATGAATCAAGGAGAAGTTTGTATCCGTGGACCAGCTATTTTTAAAGGTAAGTCGAATTCATCAATTGATCTGGTATGAAAGTAATTGGATCAATAGAGAAGATGTGGGTGTAGACATGTTGTTTACTCTAGTAAACATCTACACCCCACACTATACTTCCAACGAGGCTACTCTAGCAAACTCTTTTTTTTTCTTAATAGGCTATTATGGTGATGAATCAAAGACAAAAGAGGTGATTGATCAAGATGGCTGGCTGCATACAGGTGATGTAGGAGAATGGACAAGTAATGGAGCATTACGTATTATTGATCGTGCAAAACATATATTTAAATTAAGTCAAGGAAAATATATTGCACCAGAACGTCTTGAAGATGTTTATATTCGTTCACAATGGGTTGCACAAATCTTTATTGATGGTATTTCTAGTGAAGAATCGGTCGTAGCTATTGTGATACCTGATGAACAGTATGTTCGAAAGAACTTTCAAGAAGTAAACACTGAAACAACATTTGCCAATTTATGCAAGAATGTCAAACTAAAAGAAATTATTTTATCCGATTTAATACGATTAGCAGAAGAATCCAAACTTAAAACTTATGAAACATTAAGCAATATTCATCTTCATTCCGAATTATTTTCGCATGACAACGAACTTCTTACAGTAACATTCAAGACACGACGAAATAATGCTCGAAAACATTTTCAATCAATTATTAAATCACTTTATCAAACTGATTCGACCATGACAAGCAAAAATTCATTGAAATAGTTTCTATTGAATTAGATCTTTTAATAATTATTCTGATTACTGTTGCTTGTTTATGATCTTCTCTTACTTATAATTATTGTTAGTTTTTCTTCGTACATTTCCATATGCTTTCATCATTTAGATTCAGAACATTGATTAAAGATTCAGACGTTCATGTTTATTTTTTTACTAATAGTTAAAGTAAAGTAATCTTTCAATAGCTTATAATGCAGGAATCAACTTTCATCAGAAAAAGTAGTTTTACTCATTCGAGTTACTTTCAGATGCCTGTTCGAAAATAATTTAAAATTGAGAAAGTAAGGACTTCGAAGTCAGTACATACGATGGAATGTAGTCTTGTGCGATGTTCGAGTTTCATCTGGTCTAAATTGAAATGTCTAAAAAGCATAGTTAGATTCGAACTAAACATACAATATATCACTCATATGACAGAGAAATCAATTTCTACATGCTCATAATCATTCTAAAATACTGTCTAATAAAATTTAAGTTACAGTGTGGCGGATGTGGGTGTAAGTGTTCGTCTGCGTGAGATACAGGTGTAGACATGCGGACAGCTTGCATGTGCATTAAAAAGACAGCTATACTCACACCCTCAAGCTCACTTTCGTTTGGTACTACGTCGTATTAATATCATCAGATTAACACATGATGACTGATTTATCGGTTCAAATTATAAATTAAAGGAAATCTTACTAACACTTACATCATGGTAGCACAAACGTAAATATCACTGTCTCTAGTGTTGAAGATTGGGGTGATGTTTATAATGGGTCCGAAATCTATGAATTTACGCTTACTTTATCAACTTGTTTTCTCTAATATATTCTAAGGGAATTCACAACTGAACTCTAGTGGAAGTCATAATGTAGCTTGTTGCTAGTAGTCCATGTGTTATTATTTTAGAGTCTTTGTGTCCTTTCTTTCCGATTTTACTTGATAAAAAGTAGGAATGTCTCCATTTTTAGCATCCAAAATTTATTCGTCTAGGTTCGTAAGAATTCTTTTTGTGACTGATAATTAATATAAGGATAACGTTTTCCTTGTATTTATTGCTGTTGGTCATAAAGAATACTTATCATTTAGAATAGCTAGTAAAATCTGTATGAAAAAGTGTATTTTATTGAAAACCAGTACATCTTAACGAAATGAACAAACAGTTCGCCAAGCGTGTCACCGTTAACTTTGCTTTCAATTCCCAAAGGAAGCCATCGATAGATGTTCTTGTCATAAATGGTGACAAGGACGACTGATGGTCGAGGCTATTTCCTTATGTGAAGTACGAACTACTCTGATTGCAAGCTTCGATGTTAAAAACATTATTTTGAATGATGGTGGCAAGTGGTGTGATAGCTATGGGAGTGAGAATTAGCAATCATTAATAACGTGTATAATGTCTATGGGCGAAACCGCTGCACAGTCATGAGACAGTCAGTATCGAAAGGATCAAGATGCTAATGAGCATGAATTAGTAGAACGTATTGTTATTCTTGATACCAGTGCATCTGTATTGTTCGACATTCATTTGCATGAAAATCTATTTGCTTGCTTGAATCATGTATCCACCAATAGTAAAATATTCATCATGAGATTTCGGATTCATTTTCAATTTATGTTTCCTTTTTTGTATAGCTAGGCTGAAAGATAACTTTGAACTTCTACTTTAGAACGCTTACGCAATCAGTTATTGATTTATACTGTCCAATTTTAATCAATCTGTGATTTCCATCATGCTATTTGCATTCTAAATTCATGCTCAGATACGATATTTTAGAGTTTAAATTGGAAAAAGCAATCTGACTCAAACCCCAGCATTAAGTAGTTACGCATGACAGTTCTAAAGGGAGGAGTAGCACACGCATTGTTTGCTTACATGTAGAGTTAGTGTGTTCTTTTTTTAGACAAAAGAGCAAATGAGTAAGCCAACTCGATTGCAGATAAAAAATAGACTTGATACATGAAAGAGAGATTATCTTGTTTATGTTTCTGTTTACATGGTTCTCAGGGCAAAAAGTCTGTGATAGATTGATCAAATAACGACACACAGTACCTGATTGATAATTTTAATGTAAAACAAGTGTCTATCTTCTGTTGTGTCTGTTTTTAATTTAAATTATATTGCACTGCGATGCTTCTATTAATGCCGACGCCGCCCATATTTTTGATTACGATTGAACTGCGTCGCACTTCCAAAAACACTCGACTCATATGAGATTTTTTCTGGCAGTTTTTATTACGAATTATAGGAAGTTTTTACAACACAAAAAATTAGCAACTGGAAAAAATAACAAAATAAACAGTTATGAAAAAATTTCAAAAATTAATAATTGAATAAAGTTTAAAAATTTAGCGAAATAAATTTAAAAATCAACACTGATTCTTTTTAAACTAAAAAACCCAAACAAATCAAAAAAATTTAAAAACTCGAATTCTGAAAAAAATTTTAAAATTTTAAAATTGTAGAATATTAAAAATGAAAAGAAAAAGATCTAAAAGAAAAATAGATTGGATTCAAAAAATTTAAATTTATTATAAACAATACAAAAATTAAAAACCAATAAAAATTGTGAAAAGCTAAAATGATATTAAAAAATTACGTTCGGAATACATATTTAATCTATCACGACGGAATTAATTGTGAACAGAACTCTCACAGAGAATGACTTTTATAATCTCTGTGCAACTAAGTTATTGTGCTAGGATGTGACCAATTATAAAAGAGAAGGAGTCACTTATTACTAGTTGATATCAATTACGATAAATCTTACGATGAGCATACTTCTACACAGTTTTGCGTAACTGCGTCGCAGTAACCGTAACTTTTCGCATAAGCTTTCACTACGATAACTGCGCCGCGGTTACGCGTAACTGCGACGCAGTCGACAAAGAATAGGCGACATGGGTGTGCACACACGTGATGACGATGTTGTCAAGAATTGTTTCTTTCGTTCGTTCTTTCATGTATATCTCCAATTATTCATAACCGTCTTTCACAATCATGGTGTCAGTAGTTTTTTTTCTGTAAGAAATAAAAATCATTGGACTTATTTTCGCATTGAAAGACAGTTCGATTTTTTTTGCAGTCATCTGAATATCTGTCGAACAGAACCAAATATGCACGCAAGCAAACTTGCTAGCGAAGGAATTCGTTATCTTGGCAGTCTACAACTACATGAACTGTGCCAACTTCAGGAAGAACTTGACACACTATGGAACAATGGAAAGACGATAGTATCAAATAATCTATACGATAAAGTGGTCGATGGAATTAATTACGAAATCGCACAATTAACCAATGATCCCTACAATTTTGTTATGACGAAAACTGATGCTGAAGTGAAAGATCTTGTTGACTATTTTACTCAACTTCAAGCACAAGGACAATCTCGCATTGATAATTCTATTGTGGGTATTCTACAGAAAGAATTAGCACTCCGAAACGACACAATTGTTGATCCAACTATTCAATTTCCTTCCCATTGGACTAATATGTCCCAAACTGACTCATCAGTACAACTGATTCCACTCGTTCGATCATCTCAAGAATTTCAAGAGATATCTGATTATTTTATTAAATCACTTGGACGTCCATCTACAGTGATCTATTCGATTATTCGAATTCAAAATATTCGATTGTGGAATATTTATCAACAAGTACAACAAACAATTCAATGTACTAGTACACGTCTTATTCATGGTACTGCTTCGTTATCACAACAAAAATTGATTACTTTTCATGGTTTCTATTGGAGTTATTGTCCGAATGGTCTCATCGGTGATGGGATCTATTTTGCTTTAAATGCAAGTTATTCGAATAATGATCCATATGTGATGAAAAAGACTCCTCATCGACGTGAACTTTTTATTTGTCAAGTACTACTTGGACAAACGACACTAGGTAAAAATGGTCTTCAATCACCGCCACAAGGTTTTCATGCGGTACACTTTTCCAATACACATCAGATCGATGAATTTTGTATTTTCAATCATTATCAAGCATATCCTGAATACATAGTTCAATACGATTATGAATAAAAGATTTTTTTCCAAATCTTGCCATACTCATGATTGTTATTTGTGAGTGTGGGTGTATGCATCTGGATCTAGATGTTCCAGTCATTCGCACTCACACCCACACCCATACCCACACCAAGTACAAAGCATATTCGATTACACTCTATTTACTGTATGACTGATTCTTAAAATAAAAGAAAATGAAAACCATCTTGTTCATAGAGATACAGTGAGATTATTTAATTTCAGAGAGAAAAGTTGTTTTTTAGGTATCATGTTTTACCAGAATGACCGAAAAAATTCGGTGGTTTAAAATGATCACTCTTTAATTTCTTTAGTTATATCATGTGTAACTTGACAATCAACATCAGGTCAAAGTTTAAGCAAAACAAGAAAATAAGATTATTCAGTATTATTTGGGCACTATGGACGACTTGTCTGGCTTCTCATTAATAAATCCTGACGATGGTGGCGAATAGTACTTGATGAGACATCGGTGAGTTATGTAGCCATGAGTCTCTTAATTGGGTTCCGAATATAGAATGAAGACTCAAATGTTTGATACAAGTTTGGCAGTAGATGAAGAAAAACACTTGAACTAGAGCTTTAGTATATAATAAGAATACAAGGTAGTTTTAGTTACATACATTTATAGTTCCTATGCAATCTCCACTATACAATTAACAATAGATAGGCACAGATTTAGTTACAGTTTTGCTTATTTATAATTTATATTTAAAGACAGTCATGTATGAATACGAATTATAAAAATCAATACCTAAAACTAAGTTCTAGGTTATGATTAATTATAAGCTTACATTTCTTTAAGAACTCTCGAATTGTACCCGAGCTCGGAGTAGGCAGCTACTCTACTCGGGCGTGCAGAGGATAATAATTGTACACAAGATTCGAAAGGATTGGTCGAATCATGATTATGCAACTATAACAATTAGAGCCAGATGGCGATTTATTCTATCCATATTCAA